TATATATATATATCAGTGAAGAAGAGTGAAGAGTCAGTGGTATATCCTGTATTACACTGTGACATATGTTCTATATTTTATTCTTCACTTTTAGCCTGTGGCTACCAGGACGACTCAGACGTCAAAGAAGGCACAGGAGACCCCGTCACTGGACTGTCCTCAGCTTGTCCGCGAGGCTAAACCCCTGCCTGAGCCCAATGTTGTGAGTAATAATTACTAGCTATGCCTCAAACAGCTGTGAGCATTATGACTCTGGTTATATTCACTCCACACACACATACATACTTACACATATACACATACACACACGCTAGGGTTGGGCAATATTGGCAAAAAAATTCATCACTATTAATTGTGGTATTTAGCCGATAACAATTAATTTAATGATTAATCCCCTGGAGTCCCTGGACACCCTCATGTCCTAGTCATATGACCTATTTAGTGGGAAAGATTTGCTCTTTGTAAAAAAAAAATCTGTTCCAAATTTTGTCAAAATTACAGTCTTCAGGCTATACATCAACTTTTAAAGTGTGTTGATAGATAAATAAATTAAAGAACCGAAGTCTAAATCTCCATTCAGTCTGGTGGCATTAATCGTATTAATTGTCAAGTGCCAAAAAATAATCCATTAATGTTTTTCTGATGATTAATTGCACACGAATATGATTATGCCCAACCCTAACACATGCACACCTCCCACTCTCTGTCAACATTTAAGACAGGCTCACATTGAACACATGTTTGTTTTGAATCTGCATTCTTCACACACAGACATACTGTGTTGATGGTTCAACTGAGGAGTGATCAGATTCAAAATGTGTAAACATGTGGGACAGTTGACAGACATTAAACTAGTAAAGATGTGATGAACTGTCAATGAGTGATGAAAGGTAAACATTTATAATGTTTTCCTTCTTGTTTGTACTAGGACCACTCCTATGCTCTGCCTTCATCCAATGAGGGTCTGAGGGCCAGACTCAGGGAAGCCTTGGCCAGGGTGGAGAGTCTGGAAAAAGAGAATAGGAATATGAAGGACAGAGAGAGGAGGGCAAAGAACACTCTGAGTTGTCTGCTGGAAGATCTCAGGTTAAAGAAACTCCTAAATGAAGAGTTGAAGGAGCAGCTCAATATATACTCAGGTAAAATAATTTGAATATAAGTGTAATACGTTCCCTTCTTTATTAAGACTTCATAATGACTTCAGTGGCCTACTTATTTGCTTGTGCTAATTGAATTTCAGATCATCAAACACCTCTGTCCAAGCAGAGTCACAGATACACCAAAAGACCAGAGGAAGTGTGCCATGACTGTCCACTTATGTGGTCCGAAGATGTACAGCTATCTGAGAGAGACCCCTAATATCACCCTCCCACATCCGCATACAGCTGGTGAAATAAGTATTGAACACAGCACCATTTTTCTCAGTATATATATTACTAGAGGTGCTAATGACATGAAATTTTCACCAGATGTCGGTAACAACCCAAGTGATCCATACATACAAAGAAATCAAACCATAAATGTCCAGAAATGAAGTTATTTGTAATAATGTGGAGTGGCACAGGGAAAAAGTATTGAACACACTTACTGAAATTTATCTAATACTTTGTACAAAAGCCTTTGTTGGCAATTA